TGAGGACACAAATTAAAAATTCAAGAGAGTTTTATAGCAAAAATGGAAATGAAACAGATATGAGGATGAAGACGATGGTGATGACGATGATGATGACGATGATGATGACGATGATGATGACGATGATGATGATAATGATGTCTGAGCGATCAATTTATTTATCCATTCATCAATCTATCCAGTTGTATTTTAGGATGCAGATTCATTCATCTACCAATTTGTATATCTATCTAGGAGTCATGATGCAATGTCAATCACCATCGTTTATCCATCCATCCATCCATCCATCCATCCATCCATCCATCCATCCATCCATCCATCCATCCATCCATCCATCCATCCATCCATCCATCCATCCATCCATCCATCCATCCATCCATCCATCCATCCATCCATCCATCCATCCATCCATCCATCCATCCATCCATCCATCCATCCATCCATCCATTCCTACATTCGACCATTAATTAATTCATCCATCCATCCACCTACCCATCTCGTTGTCAAGCGGTGCATTGATGCATAGAGTGGCATGTTTGCAGAAGACGACAAGTGTGCATGCATGAATGCATGTTACAGCGTGCATGTGTGCATGCATGCATGTTACACGTTTGTGTTTGTGTGGACAACATGTGCATGGATGTTACCTGCAATAAACCTAATGAGCACACATGTTTATATTTGCACGCACACATTCATACCCCGTAGCTCAAGCCATATAAGTAACGTGAATATATAAATGTACACAACACGAATATAAGAATATATAACATAACTATATACAAATAACAATGTGTGTGTGTGTGTCTGTGCGTGTGTATATATATATGCGCTAGTGTGTGCATGTGTGTTGTGTGTGCATGTGCGCGCGAATATAAGAAGTTAGGGGGGGAGGTCGAGAGCGAGTGCGTAAATAAAGAATGCATTGGACGATCGGAAGCTCGCTGACATCCAATCTCTGGCAAGGTGGCTTTAAAACTCTGCAGCACATGAATATGCATTATGACGTCATCTACGTGCATTCCACTGCTCCTCCCCTCCATCTCCCTCCACCAGCCATCATACATTCCTGTTCACGCTGCTTGCATGCACGTAAGTACATCACGTACATGAGATGTGTACGTATGTGTAACGTGTATCTAAACACACGTCGTGCATTTTGTGATGGTTGGTAAATTGTAGTTATTTTGAATTTGAAGATAAAAATTTCCTAATTAGATAATTTTTCTTCATTTGATCTTTTTAATCGTGCATGCGCCTGTCTCTTCAGGTGTGCATATGTGTGGGTGTTTGCGCGTCTGGGTGCCTCAGTTTGAGTGTGTGTGCGTGTGTTTGCGTCTTTCAGTTTGAATATGTATGTGTGTGAGTTTGTACACATCACGTGTGTTTCTGTCCGTATATGTGCGTGTGGGTTTATAAGTTTGTTGTGTAAACATTTGTTTCGTTAAGTATTATGCACGTACAACACATGAATTTATGTACATAAAACACACATACACTTATATATATATATATATATATATATATATATATTTAAAAATTAATTAAATGTGTGAAATGTATGAAGGCAATACCCGAGAATTGGAGGGAGAGTCGAGGAATTTAGATTCACGTATGAAATTTACTTTAGTGGTTTTCAAATGGTTCCTTAATGGTCCATTGGAAGGTATTTTAAGGCAGCGGAATGTTTTTAAGTTCATCCAGAAATAAAAAGTTAAATGTGAATTGATAACATTTTTCTAATCTCGATTGAGAGAATGATAACGACGAGCACTGCTGCAACATCATGTGAAGTTTATGTTAATTGCACTTGAACAAAATTGTGGTGGTTTGATCCTGAAGGAATAGAAATTTATGAAAACCATGATGATGTAGACATAATGATGATGACGTGAATATAACGATGATGATGACTAACTGCGGCATAATAATCGAAAAAATATTAAGTACTTAAAATAACTACAATAAAACAACATTGAAAGAATTGATGACGAAGTTAGTTGTGGTGGTGTTGGGCAGATAATGATGCGAGGAGGAACAAACTTTTTTAAGTTTATCAAACATTCACTGGGGATCAAAGGGGAGATTGAAGCTGGATGCTGCTGAAATTATGTGAAATTTGAGTACAAATGTCCTACTTGCACACACGCACGTGCAAATACAATAAAACATTGACACATGCAAACCCATACGTGTAAACTCAAATGCACTGTAACAATCCCATCTTATTTCATTCATCTTATTTGGTCCACAATCCGCTTCCTATCTTATTTTTCTATTTTTCCTGCTACCTCTTTAATCGACTTTATTCCAGTTTTGTTCCCAATCTGCTCTGCACTGTTTGCTTCATCCCATCTTATCCAGTTTAATCTCAAGCAAGCCGATCAATTACATCCTTCATATTTTATTCTATCCAGTCCAGTTTTATATTTTTATATCCGATCCTACTCTGCTACCTCATAGCATCTCTGCGGTTTCGGCTAACTTGATCTCAAAGTAAACAAACAAACGAACGAACGAACAAATAAAGAAACAAACAAACAAATAAACGAACGAACGAACGAACGAACAGTATGTTCTTTTATATGTAGTCGATTGAACGGTCAATTAAAAAAAATTAGATTCCAGCTATTGATGCTTTTGCCGATACTGATAGGATTTTCTCCAACACTTTTATTATTATTATTATTTTTATTATTTCGTTATTACTCTTATTTAAACTTTATTATTTTATTTAATATTTTTTTTATTTTGTATCGTTTTGGTTCTGTGGTTCTTCAAATACGCAACAATAAGATTGGCCCTGGCTCGTCTGTTCTCTGACGTTTGAGTCGCATCACATCGTGTTCAGTTCCAGAATTGCTGACATTCACATTTCTCAACACCCTGTTATCAAAAGACCACTTTTGATTCTTCCACACCTGAGACAGAATGACCTTAAGAGCTTGAGTCTCTTTTTGAATCTCAAATGTTGGCATTGTTTTAATGGTTTACATAGTTCATAAATCTGTTGCACTGCTACAAAGATCTGGATTTCAGAATGAAATCTTGTTGTTTCATGGAAGGTTCTTTAAATTTTAAATTCACTTCCAACGTTTTAAGCAAGCTGAGAATCGTTTATATTTTAAATTTAAAATTTAATTAGTCTTTAATTTAAAATTCAATGAACAGCAATAAACACAATGAGGAATGCAGCATCCGAATTTTCTGGTGCATGATGCTGGGAAGTGTTTTAATAAAATAAGTAAAAATTGATTTGATTTTTTAAAATTTTGTGAAAAAAATTCCCATAAACGCCGTTTAGCAGCATCTTTTCATAAGTTCTTCAAAATAAATGACTTCTTAACAACATCGTCCTGTGCATGTTACGCCGCTTAGCAGGACTCCATTGGAGACGAACAGCAGCAGGGGGCATGCGGGGAGGAACCGACCCATGCCAGCCCTTCCAAACACTTTCGATCAATTCAAAACAGGACTGCTGCTCTGGGAAGTTGTTCTGTGCCACACTTGTTGTCAGCCATCATCATCATCATCATCGTCATCATCATCATCGTCATCATCATCATCGTCATCATCATCATCGTCATCATATCATCATCATCGTTAGCAGCATCGTGAGTTTCCATCTCCAGCACAATAACTTCCATCATTATATTATTAATATTTCATTGAGAAGATCACATGAAGATAGGGAACACGTATGTCCTTCATTAGTTATACGAATCCTACAATTGCTGAAACGTTTGTGCTGGTGCATGTGTACGTGTTGATTGGTGCGTGTGTACGTCGTGTTGATTGGTGTATGTGTACGTGTTGGTTGGTGCGTGTGTACGTGTTGGTTGATGTATATATTTTTGCATAATGAAAAACACATTGCAAGTGTTTGATTGCTCGTAATTTGTAATGTTCAAGTGAGGTTTAGTGAGCATCTTGTCAGAGGAGTTGCGAGCAGAAGCAGACACCCAACACATGCATGAATAACATGTGAGCGATTGCCTCTCTGTGCTCTTCCATTTGCCTTCATGCATCTTTTCATCATGCAACACACACACACACACACACACACACACACACACACACACACACACACACACACACACACACACACACACACACACGCATATATCTGTCCTTGACCCAGCAGTGTCTGGCTGGTTATTGGAGGAAATGCATGTCGCGTACCATCAATGCCACCACCGCTGCTCCCTCAGTCAATTGTTTCTGGATTTGTCAAATTACCATCATCTTCATCACAATCATCATCATTACTACATCATTACATCGTCACCATCGTCGTCGTCGTCATCATCAACAGCATCATCATCCACCTAGTTATCAAAATTGATATTTATTGACTTCTGTTATTGAATTTTTCGAATTTTTGAGAACGTTTTCTGTTTATTGATGATAATGGTGAAAATGATGGTGATGATTATAACAGTGATGATGATGATGATTATGATGATGATGATGATGAACAATAAAAATGGCAATGATTATGATGGAGAAAATGGAAAAAAAAAACTCGAAGAAGTAAGAAGCATGTTGTAAATTTGCATGGTAGGGTGTGATCGCTGCAAAGATGATGGTGATGATGAATAAGAGGGTGATGGTGGTGGGACTGAAAATTATCAAGACAATTAATATCACCATCATCACCGTCATCGTTATCATCATCACCACCATCATCGTCATCACCATAATCATCATCATCACCACCATCATCATCATCATCATCACCGTCACCATCATCATCATCACCATCACCCTCATCATCATCATCATCTCTCAACAGCAGAAAAATTTTCAACACGTACTGTTTTGCAATTACTTGAACAGCAATTCAATTTTATTAACAAATCTTTCTTCCTCGCCCTCACCAACGTTCCTCACTATCTCTTTATCTTTTTCAGTTTTCTAATTTTATTTTTTTTTTCGTTTTTAACTTTCTTCCTCCCTTGGACGCAAGTACAGATGATGCATTTTTATTGGAAACACTTTAAATATTCATGTGAAGATGTCAGATGATGAATGTTGTATAAGTGCGTTGTACACACACACACACACACACACACACACACACACACACACACACACACACACACACACGAACATACACACGCACACACACACGCACACAATGTTGTTTTTTGTATGATAATTTTTATTTTAACTACAAACTACAAACAAACCCATATTCATTTTTTGTGTGTGTGTATGTATGTATATATATACAAATATATATATAATAAATGCTTACAATATTCATCAATGCTCATCTTTAATATAAAAGTACGATGATGATAAAATGACAAAATCTGTTCCTGTCACAGTATATTTTTATTACATACGACGACTTAATTACGCAGTTTAATCAAATTATCTTTAAAAACGCCTGACCAAGATAAATTAATTAATGAGAGTTTAAAAGAATTATGAAAACCTACTGGACTAATTTTAAATGTTCTAATTAAAATGTTAAAATTTTTAAAATCTTTCGACAAATCATTTTTAAGGTTGTTTTTATATTTTTCTGCCTTGCAAAGTTTAGATTTGGAAAAGTTTGTTTCGTGGCAAACCGTCAATTCGAGAATCTCTATCGTATCGTTGTTGGCTATGGCGATGTCTGGCCGGAGAGACTTGAATATGTGCGATTATGGGCGAATTGATTCATTATCTTGATCCGCATATATGATTTGAATCAGACTTCGCACAAGATTAATGTTGCCAACAATTAGATTAAGAATTTCGTTATATCTCTCCAGTTATCTACCCAATGCCACGGTCAAACTGCAGTTTGACACTGCATGCTTATTTGTTTGTTTTGCATTGCATAGAGGACATGACTCGTTAGTTGACTTTTCCTATTTAATCAAGTTTGAGTTTGTTGGTAGTTGTTGTATGTGTTTTGTTGCAAATTTAATTATGATCGCTGGTGCTCTTTTTTTTGCTTTAGACCATGGTGTAATTTCAGTGAAGTTAATGTAGTCATTTAAAGATCTTATCAGAATATCATGGTTCTGTAGCGAATGTATACGATTGAAATCTATCTCGTGCTGGCGTTCTTTACAGATTTTGAGTGCATGTTGCATTCGGGATGTTGCTATCAATTTTTTTAAAACACTCGGATGATTCTGCCCATAGACATTTCATTTCGTCATTTGAATTAAGTTTTAGGCTACCCCGTAGCTTTATTTTTAGCAGCTCTGCATGATTTTTTAATGATCGACAGTACAAGCCAGCCTATCACTGTCTCAGTTATCATCGCATCGAGGGTTTTTCCAATCCACGTCACTGAGATATCGTATATTCTCAGATCAAATGAGGGTTGCGACAGAACAAAAAGTACTTTAAAATCTGCAGCTTCCATTGTGCAGTATTATCTAGTTCATCAACTGTGTGCAGCATGTTTTTAACTTTTTTTTTATAAATGTGTTCTTTTTCTTTCGTATTTTTGAACTCAAAATCGTATTTTTTTTCCAGATAAGTAAAATGCTCATTAATTTTTATCTGCGGGATTGGCACATCATCAAGTGAAAATCCGAGCTGAAATTGTTTATAATTACCATCTCTTTTTGTATTCCAAATGCCTGTTCACGTGCACCATGCGTTGTTTAGGCCAATCAGCGTCTATGCACCCTCTGTGTTGTTTGGGATGATTGCGGTATCATCAGCAAACTGAAACCCTGCTTTTGACATTAAATCTGCCGTTGATTCCCACAAATAACCACATTGTTGGAACTCCTTTTTCTCTATTACTTTTATTAATGCGTTAAAACAAAGATTGAATAATAATGGAGAACAGGGATCGCCCTGAAGCACCGCGTCCAACGTGAATAAGCGACCTTAGTTTATCCCACGTCAAAACTGCTATTGAGTAATCATCGTAAATCGATTTAATTAGATAACTAATTTGTGTTTGAACGTGGTGATACTTCAGAGCTGGTAGGATGAGAACATGACTGACCTCACCAAACGCGATTCGTAGATCCAAAAGAGCGACGATGATTGTTCTTTGGTGGAGCTTGGCGTCTTTAAGCAGATGCGTCAATAGCTGAGTGTTTTCAGCCACACTATCAATCCTTAGATTAAAATTTTTCAGCGTTGTTGTGTTGATGAGGTTGTTCATTTCTAAGTAATTATATAATTGATTTTTTATGAATGTTGAGAAACTTTTGTACAGAACCGGTTGTAACGTAAGTGGTCTGAAGTTTGCTGGGTCGCTAGTATCACCTTTTTTGTGGATTAATTTGGTTAGGGCCTTTCTCTACCACGTCGGGATTGTTGATGATTTCCAGCATTCGATTAGCAGTTGATGAAGCATTGTGCAAAGAAAGGGACGTTTTTAGAATATTATTAATGATAATTGGTCTAAGGCGCACGTAGAAGCTTTTGATTTACATTTTTCCAATTATTGCTGTGATTTTATTGTATGTTGGAGGACTGGTGTTGAATGGAATTGGAAAATTCTTTAATAGTAAAATCCATGGAGATAGGCAG